AGCTTGGATTCCAGTGAAATGAGAGATGGTTTCGAGAAGGAAGTATCTTTTAAAGGAATTGAAAGTGGGAGCTCATTTGATAGGATTCAGAATACTGGGTGGGTTGATAAGGTCTCTTCCTCATGGGCAGTTCCTGGCAATAGGAAGTTTGTGATTGATGTAACTGGGAGGGTGACCTTTGAAACATTAAGGTCTTTAGTGGTGTTTATGTTGAGGAAGCTTTCAGAGGGAGTGAAAAATAGCATTCATATTGTTCGTGAGGAGGTCATGGAACGGGGACTGGATGTTATCAGATATGTTGGTGCTAAGTCTTCCTTTATAGTCACCTTTTGTCTTGCTATGTATTTACATATCCTGGGTGCTAGTAGGGTTGTGAGGCCTGCTTGAATGAGCATTTGTTCCGTTGTTTTCCCTGAAATACAATGAAGTCTTAACTGAAGCTGCTTATATCAGAGGGTATTTCATACGTATATTTCTCTCACGCAAAGTGTATATAGCATTAGCAATACTCAGCTTCCTTGAGATTTATTTGCCTTCTCCAAATGTATACTCGATAATCTCAGCTCGCACTGCTGTATGCCAGAACTAGTGCTATTTTTTTGTTCTACAAATCTTTTTCTTATTAATTTACTTAGTATTTTAGAAACGAAAATGTGCTTTGGGATTAAGAATTCCAATTTATGTGTGTGGTTTTTGCCATTGTTGTTGATAAGAGCTTGTATCATTCAGCATCTCATCATATCCTGTTCGAACAATGATTTACTGAATAGGAGGTGTCTATCCATAGGAGCATCAGCACTGCTAAGGAAAATTTAGCTGATCCTGGAATATAATTCGACATGATGATTGGATTATGATAGGGATAGTAATAATTTTTTCTGGAAAATCTTAATCATAGAATGTTGGAATAAAGCAATCACAAAATGATTGGAGTGGATTTGTGTGCTATCCTTCAGCCTAATTTATTTTTCAGTCTGTACGTTTTTCTTGTTGATACAAGCGTCTGTGCATATAAAGAGTTTGTTTTCAGCTAGAATATGCTAGAGAGTAGTAAGTTGAAATTTTTTTTCTCAACTAAACCTATGCTACTAGTAATATTATTTTTCCTAAGTTATTAAGGATGAACCTGAAAATTGTGTGACAGACAAACATCACATTTCCGCTTATCAGAAGCAAAAGTAGTAATGATTAGTGATTCTGCCCATTCAAACTTCTGATGCATAAAGTTATGAGAACGAAATGAGTATGGACTATGCAGTCTTGATATGGAATCATCCTATTGAGTAATTTATCACCCCGTAAAACTACATGCCATTGATTGAGTGAAGTGCTTTAGAGGTCAATCAATGCCATGATCTTTGTTTAAAACTTCCTGGCTTGATCTGTATCTTTCATCTCCAAGTAAATGCAAAACAAATCCTTCCCAACAACTGATCTTCGTATAAACTATGCTCTATGATTATAGTAAGAACATTTTTTTTATCTTTTATCCGATCTTTAGCATTTCATTAATAAAATCCTAAATGCACTGGGTTGATGAGAGCAGTTTTAAGAGGGGATTATAACCGAAACAAATTTGTATCTTAGTCATCTCATTGATGGCTGTTGAACATGCATTTATGACTATTTCAATGCACTCAGCAAAATGGCTATCCTTTATTTTGCAGCAATGGCATACGCTTGATTCTTGACTATCCTTTATTGTGAATATAGATGTGTTTGACCCTCTGCCTGCTTGTTGTCATAGCTTGTGACAGGTAACTTCTCTTCCTTGTGATGTGTCTTATTTGTGCAATTTGATGCATATTCTGATTATTTGTTGTATATCAGCTTCATGTTGTTACCATCTGGAAGGTTAATGCTTTCCTAAAGTTAATGCTTTAGTGTGCCTTCTCCTCTTATCCCTAGATGAACTAGCTTTTTCCATCTATGAATTTGAATGTTTTAGCTTAAGAAAGAAAATGGATATTTATTTGCTGCTTAAGGGGTTTTTCCCCTTTTATTTTCTTTGTCGATAGTTTCAGCGTGTATCGTGTTCTTTGGCCCCAGTTGCTATGCCACAGGAAATCATCAAGCGGAGTAAGATACACAATTGTTTGCTATACACATGCTAACTCCTTTAGCTGGTATGAAGGATGAAAAGGGCAAGGATCGAATTTTTTTTAAGATTCATAATCACTCTCCTACTTTGTAGATTAACCACTAGCTTAACAAATTTTCCATACCAGGCAGATCTTCATGTAACGTAATGCTGTTTTCATGGAGAAACCTGTTCAAAAACTTTTGCCGATAAGTGTAGAGGAAAAACATTCAACCATTGCTTCCCATATAATGCATGAATTACCGTATTCATTCTTCTTGTTTTGAAGCCCATAGGCAGATAATTTTTGCAGTTTGAATATAGGATGATATTTATGGTAAATCAAGTACTGTCTCTTGCATGTTGCAAGGATTCCAAAAGGTCGATGCCGATATTAGGATGCTGTGTTACATATCCAATGTGCTTTCATTCAACTATCCTGCAGGTTGCAAATTTTCATCTGGACTTGAAAAAGTTAAAGTTGTTAGTGATCATAGTGTGCATTACATGGTATATTATATTCTTTCAAATTGATTTATCTGTGTCCTTTATTATTAGGTCATTTGTGGTAATTTATGTGTCTTTACTAGGTCCATTACATGATATTTTCATCTGCCAGCAGCAAATTATCACTGGGAGTGGATACTGCATCTATGAAGACGAAAATAGCAAGGTTTGGGTCCTTTATTAGGTCATTTGTGATAATTAATGTGTCTTTACATTTACAATGCCTTTTCATGCTATTAACTTCTTTTACCAAAACTAGTTACATCATGCAATCATAACTGGTTAAATCATTCATTAGAAGATTCTCAGCCATTTTTGGAACTTCGGTTAATGATTATTGTGATCTTGTCAATGAAAGTTGGTCATTGACATAAGAAACAGGGCATCGTCTACGCGTAACACTTTACTAACATGGCTTAAGAGGCCGCTTTTTTTTTTTCTTTTCGAGTAACTCGACCAGACAGGCCACCAACAAGTCGTGTCGCTTTGTTACAAGGTTATGCGCGAGTGAATCAACTTTTTGATCTTTGAGGACTCTGTGTTGGACTTGAAGATTGATGCTTTAGGGTACACTGTGCTTTTAGTGAGTAACATGGGGTGAGGGGAGCTCCACTGGGATTGCCCGTAGGCTTAAGTAAATATCCAAATATGGGAACTGGGTGAATTTTGTGGTCTGGTGTTGTGACACGTGACCATAAAAGTTTTGGCCAAGCAATGCTCTGCCTTTAGACAATTGCTTGCCTTGTAAAGCTCCCAAGCGTGAAGGTTTTTGCAATGGAGGGAAATGAAATGCTCGAGACACCATTGTGCCAAATACATGTTATGTTAATGCATCTTTTAAAGTTGAGACAATCGTATCCTATAACAAAATCTGTTTGGGCCCTTTTTAACTTCCTTCACGCCATTGGATAAAAAGTTGGATTGGATTGATCGAATCGGATGTCTAATTTAATTTCAGAAAACCAAATAACAAAATCGAGGTATAATGATGAAATTAACCTTGAACATTTATCCAAAGATCATTTGGTTGATACTCTTTTTCTGGAACATTTTAACCCTCAAATGATCTATTTCATAATAAAAGGCCCTTAATGTTTGATCAAATAATCATTTTGCTCTTTAATCTTTTTTCTGGAGCTTTTGGCTTGATTTTATTTTAGGGTAAAAGATCTTTATTTGAAACATTAACCGTTTGTTAACTAACAATTTTTTATTCATAGGAGGCCTTTTACTCAAAATGAATATTGAAAAAATATGAATAAAAATAACTATTTAATTAAACGTTAGAGCCTTTTATGATATTACAATAATCAATGTCAAAGGAAGAATCGAAGATCCTTTCCTCCTATACACTTCATAATATAAAATACACAAATAATTTAGCCAAAAAGGGGAAAGAAGGGAAAACCCTGATTGCATGTTTGTCATTGTTTTCTCCTGCTTGTTTATAATTATCGAGTAAGAACTAATGTAATAACTGAATTATCATTTAAAAAATATTTTATATTCAATAAATATTTTTATTTTTATTTAAAAATAACAGAATACAAGAGTATGATGCATATTTCAAGACAATGTTGTAGTCTACTACCTTTCAGTCCCTAGTGTATCCTACATGACTTATGTGATGTCTGTCTCCCCAATAGAATGTCCCTTTTTCAAGCAATTTTCTTTAGCATCTGCTTTTGTTTGATTCTTCGTGATTAAGCTAAACCTAATCTTCTCAATGACCCACCAATTCTCACTCAAAAAAGCTTGAAAAAGAACCCCACTACCTTTAAACTTGGGATAATTTTAAAATTTTAATATAATTATTTAACATTGTTTTAAAATCACCTGTGTTTGCCGAGTGGAGTCAGTGATGCTCCCCTAAATAAAGCGTCGATTTAAATCTTTTAGATATAAAAAAGGTTTAGGGTTCACTCACCCCTATATAAGACTTTTAGTTTTTCTCTCTTTTAAGATCATTGGATGAGGAAAAATCAAAGTCTGAAATTTACTCATTATTTTTTCTAGTGAATATCTTCTCATTTCCTACTGTTAATGTCAATCTTTGATAACCCCTGATCCTAAAAGAATGTAAAACTAAAAAGTTTTAGTCTATGTAATTGGATCCTAACCCTAAAAAACTTTAAAAGAATTTTATTTCATGTTTAAAAGTTCAATTCGATTTAGTTTCAATATAATCGGATCACAAGATTTTACTTTGAAATGATGATATTTTCTTACTTATCTTGAGAAAAGTATCCAATTGTTATTCCAAAAAAAAATAACTTGTTTGCAATGATATTTTTCTTACTTTATCTTGAGAAAAGTATCCAATTGTTATTCCAAAAAAAATAACTTGTTTGCAAAGGACCCTACATGACCCTTCCTTCCTTCTTTAAATACCCTTCCCCTTCTCTTCTATCCTTCCCTTTTCCCCTTCTCTAACTTCCTAGTATCAATTTAAATTAGGGTTTTCTTTCATTCTCATTTGGTTGAGTCTAATTAGTCCAATGTTTTTAGCTGAGGAAGATGTTCAATTCCACTCACCGGTTCACGAAACCGGTTTTTCACCCGAAGAACTCCAAGAGTTATTATCATTCTTCGAATCCGAAGAACCGATCAGTTCAAACTCCGGTTCAGAAAGTTCGAGTCGGGCTGTATATTCACCGGACGAGAGAAAGCAAAGGCGCAAGATATCAAATCGAGAGTCGGCCAGGCGGTCCCGTTTGAGAAAAAAGAGGCATTTGGAGAACCTCACGGACCGAGTGAACCGGTTGAACGTAGAGAACCGGCAGCTTAAGAATCGACTAAGTTCAGTTATTAATCAGTATCACGTAGTATGGCTAGAAAATGAACGGTTAAGATCCGAATCCGACGCTCTGTGGTCCAAACTCATGGATCTATACTGGACGTCAAGTGCCATGCAATGCAATCACGATGACGGCCGACATTCTCGTCATGTTTTAACTTCAACTAATCCAACGTATTAAGCTCTACTTGCATGCATTAAACCATCGAATACATGATTCATGAAGATGTAAAAGAAAGAATCAGAGCTTAAATTATCTTCTTTTTTTCCCTACATGTATAAATATTAGGCAACAATATTGGTAATTAAAAAAAATGGTGGCTTCGATGAACCCCACGTTTAGTGTCTTGTAAGAAAAGGTAGTTTTCGAGTTTTTTTTAATGCTACTTTTGCATGTTTCTAGCTAGTTAGGGTTAAAGAGAAAAACGAATTTTGTATATGCGTCTGGTAATTTGTGTTGTTGGTGTCGTATTGGTATGTATGTAACTTTATCTTGTTATAATCACGTTTATGATATTTTATATTGGATAATTTGCATACGTGAATCATCTAGTCATTTAATTATTAAATATTTTTATTTTGACTATTGAATTGGTTTTTTCCCGATTTTGTTACTATTAATATTATGAAAATTAATTATTTTGATCACGTCATTAGAAATAATTAGGAAAAAAACACTTGAAAATTGGAAATTTATTAGTGTGGTTTAGGGTTTAATTTACGTGGGAGGTTAACTTTAAATAGCTTATACTAAAATTTGAAGTGACACCATGCATGGAACTATAATTTAATTGTGCCAAAATGTTATATTCATGCCAATTGAAAGCTATATTTATGATTCTACTTTTGAATTATACACAATTTTATTGGTATTTAACTTTAATTAGGATTCATTTTAAATTTATTATTATTGTTTAATTTTAACGGAAATCAAGTGTTCTATGCTAGAGTAATGAAGTTTAATACATTTTCCGATGGAACAATATTTGATTCTCGTTTATGAGGCTAAAAATAAATGAAATAGAATTATTAGGGTTCAACGCTTCTCGACGTCAATGACCGATGACCAACGACAATGACCACTGAAAATGGTGAGCAGTAGATAGCAACAGGGACCTTGATCAGATTCATAAGTTAAATTGATATTTTATCTAAATTTCAAAGGTTAAATTAATATTTTTATCTGAAGTTCAAGGATAAAATTAAAAAATTAACTTCTTTTACTAATATACTACACCATCAAACTAACGAATTTAACGTACTAGTCATTAAAATGTTATAAATCAATAATGCAAGTGGTCAAAATATTACTTTTTAAAATTTGGTGAAAACAACTTATAACTAGTGAAACAAAAGTGATCATATCAATAGTTTACCCACTATTTTTTACTTGGCGTAATCCAAAAATCACTCTGATATTTAACAAAATAATCATTTTGACTTTTTTTTTAAAGACCCTTGACCCAATCAACCAACGAACATTTTGTTCCAAAATAAAATGATAAGGCCAAAGTGCTTCAGGAAAGAGAAAAATATGCTAAAATAAATGGGATAAAACCAATAATTAAAAGCTCATAATTTTTTATTATTAATCTAGAGTGATAATAAGTGGAAGTATTTATTTTAAATACTAACAATAATTTAATAAAGAATGTTCAAATATTCTCCAATAGTTGATACTCGAATCTGAGACCTCTAATATAATAAGCATCAATTTACACTAAAATAACTTCGTTCTCCGTAATTAAAAACTCATTAACACTCAAATCTTAATACCAGATATATTTATTCAGAGATCGCTTTTTGAACAAAATCATTTACACTCAAATCAGCTTAATTTGAATTACTATTTAATAATAAATTTATTTAAAATTTTAATTATAAAATATATTTTTTAATGTAAAAGGGGCCACCAAGTTAGCCTCTCCCCAAACCGCGGAAAAGATTCAGTATATTATAATGCCGACCTTCCAAATTTAGCATAAATTTGAAACCAAAAAATAAAATAAAATAAATAAATAAATTTATCTTTAGAAATTGCGTAGCATGCGTGCAAAGGCCAAAGGGGGTCCATGCCCTAAAGCAAAAGTCACAATTTCCAAACAAGTCATGTGCTATTTAATCAATAAAACTTTAGTGGCTGTCTATATTAATATTTTATTTTATAAAATTTTAACGTTGTGATATTATTTAATACATCTGTTGAAGCAATAATGATATTTACCAACAATTAGTTGATTTAATAGAATGTAACGTTAAATTCTTTAAGTAATGTAACATTAAATTCTTTAAGATTGTCTTCGTCTCTGTAATACCTGATTTGGATTAGTCGGTCAATGGATGATATATTAATGATGAATTAAAAAAAAAGTTATTCAAAAAATGATATTATTTAATACTGATTAAGTATTTGTTTTCTTATACTTAATATAAGTTCAATAATTGTTGTTGTTTCGATCTTCCAATGATATTATGTCTCCTCATGCTTTTAAATCCAGAACTTTGATGAGATTATCACACTTTGCTTTTCTTCTTATCATATTTGATTGTTATTCTTCGAATATTCGAGTTATTAAAATTTTACACTCATCAAAGTTCGCAGCCTAATACCCCACTTTTATATATATAATTTTAATTATTTTTTAGAGTAAACTACTTTAAATGGTCACCAAACTTTTAGGACATTGCATTTTGGTCATTAACTTTTAAAACTTGCAATACAAACTATACATTCGTCGAGCTTTTAGTTCGTTTTCAATAAGGTCCTTGACCTTACCTCCCATTAGTTCATTTGACGTGACACGTTAATGTTATTTTTCAGCTTAATAAAATAATCTTTAAACCCATTTTAACACCCTAAAACTTTTCCTCACCCAAAATTGACTTAAAACACTAGAAATAATTTTTTTCTTTTTCTTATTCTCTTTGTTTGATCCCTCCCATTAGTTCATTTGACGTGACACGTTAATGTTATTTTTCAGCTTAATAAAATAATTCTTTAAACCCATTTTAACACCCTAAAAACTTTTCCTCACCCAAAATTGACTTAAAACACTAGAAAATAATTTTTTTTCTTTTTCTTATTCTCTTTGTTTGATCAACATGAAGCTAGCAATGGAAACACCAACTGCAATCCAACATGTTTTGGTGGAATGTCAACTATCTTACCCACAGTTTAGACGAATAATAATGCTAGAAGGAGGTTCTTTAGGTGTATTAACTATAATGTGTATTTAGAAGAAATTGCTAGAGATTCTTCGTCTCTTCCCTCCACCGCCACTTCAGAAGGTAAAATCTCACTTTCTTTTGTCACACACCACTTTTCACTTCCTCTATTTCATTCTTCTCATGTTAAGGTTCATGAAACCGCAATGACTGTTTTCTGTTATTATATGGATTGTTTCGTCGTTTGTTGTTATTCGAGTTAATTAGTGATTGATCTCGAATTATTTTATCTGAATTGCATTGCGGTGTACTTTAAAGTTCAATATTCTTTTTAGCTTATAGTTTGTGTTGGATTGCCTCAGTGGAAGATGTCAAAAGTATCAATTTCGGAAATTGAGTTTTTTAGTGCCTGCTTTGTGCAGAATAATAACCTCCTTCCAGCATTTATTTAGGACTGCCTCCATCAAGTGTTGATCAAACAATGTGATAAGAGATATGGAAATTTATTTTCTAGGTTTTCAGTTAATTTTGGGCAAGGAAAAGTAATCAGGTTTTGAAATGAGTTTAAAAGATTATTTATTAAGCTGAAAAATAACAGTAACGTGCCATGCCATATGAAAAACGGGAGGTAACGTCAGAGATCTTATTAAAAACGAACTGAAAGTTCGGTGACTGTATTATAAATGTTGGTTGACCAAAATGCAAGCGTCCTAAAGTTCGATGACCAATTATGTAGTTTACTATTTTTATATCAAGTATGTTTTTGAAGAAATCCAAAAATATCAAATCTCGAACTTTAATCCTACAAATCGAACATTAGTAAATCTAGATTTAGCATCAAGTGAATTCCAGAAAATCAAAGTGGGATCAAATGGGTACATTATTTATTTTTTTTCTCTTCCAAACTTTCCTACTTTTTGTAAAAATTTTCTAAACCCAAATAAATCAATTTACTCCAATACATTACCAATGCAATCCAGTGAATAAAGGCAATGAAACCCTACCTTTCTTATTATCCTTTTGTTAGAGAGATTATGGATAATGATGTAAACACGACCAACCTTCGTTTTTAAACTAACATTATTACGCACTTTACAAAGAAAACAAGTACTTTACGTAACGAAAACATGCACGTCCCTACACGGGTACACCACGTAGAATAATTATTAGGTTTATTTATTTTGAAACATGTAATTACCTTTTAGTACGAACCACAATTATATTTTTATATCTATTCATTTAACATTTTAAATAGAGATTAATTTTGTGAAACTGAATAGAATTATAAACAGAGACAGTATATTTTATCTCGGGGCTACTGTCTCTCATTTTCATTGTGACATTGTTAAAAAATTATATGGATAAAAAATTCAAATTGCACCTTTTACTTTTAGTTTATTTCAATTTGGTTTTTTATTTTCTATGATTAATTTTGATTTATCCTCATTGAACTATAATATATTAGTTGTCCCTGATTATAAAACGATAAAATTTTACGTCATTTAATCAAACTTTTCCACACATCAAGTGAAAGAATATATGGAAACAGCTTACACAAAGAGAGAAACGGGGATAACGAGGCAGTACTCTCTTGATAATTTATTGAAAGAAATCAACCATAATATCCCAAAGGAGACCAGTCATTATATACAAGAGAGGACACTGAGTTGGTTAGAAAACGGTTCTAACATCCTTAACTATTCCTTTGCCAGATTCAATTGAGAGAACCTGAGTGATGCAACACAAGCATCATTTTTGTACTCACTTGACTGTTTTAGAACATACTTTAATATTCCCCTTGCAACATTAAACTAAACAAAACAAGAACTAAAAAAAACAATCAAAACACAAAATCAAAGTATACTATGAAACAAAGAAGCTAACAACGGTTAGGTAAGAACATCTGCCACCTGCTCATATGCAGGAATTTTATTCACATGTACCTTCTTAGCAGCAACTTCTTCACAAAAAAAAAATTTAACTCGACGTGTTTAAACTTTGAATGTAGAACCAAATTAGATGACACAGTTGCCACACTTGTATTGTCGTTGTAAAAAAAATTCTAACTCAACTTGTTTAAACTTTGAATGTAGAACCAAATTAGATGACACACACATTTGTGTTGTAACACTCCAAATTTTCCCCAAATTCAAAACTCTAG